TATACTCTATCTTATTCACAATCTGTCATTTTCAGTGCCTGCCATGTTATCAGGGGGCAACTCTTCCCAATTCTTCTGGAGAGAAGGGCAAGCACAAATATTTCTTCCACCTTCAGCCTAATTCCAAGCCTATTTTCCAACTTCCCAGTCTTGCCAACTTTGGAGAGTAGTTTTTTTCCCTTCAACCCTCCTTATAGGTAGTCCTCAACTTACAACCAGGGGTGGGATTCTACCAGTTTGCACCTATTCGCTAGAACCGGTTGTTAACATTCTAAGCAGTTCGGAGAACCAGTTGGTAGAAGAAATTACTGGCCTAATCCTGTAAGGAAGGCAGGAAGGAAACATTCTGGTGTTGCTTACAGAAACTGCCTCTCCGTTAACCCTTATTACATTCTTGGCAGGACTAGACTTCCTGTCTCAGGAACATCTCTGGAGTTTGTTTTTCCCTTCCTTTGCTGATACTTTGCTTGTGTGGAGTGACCATTCAAAGTTACAATGGCACTGAAAAAAGTGATTTATGACCATTTTTCACACTTATGACTGTTGCAGCATCCCCACAGTCATGAGAGGCCAGGTGAGGAGATGTGTGAATGATATTGAGTTGGCCACACCCAGCCAATAACATGACCATCAAGCCATATCCACCCAGTCACATGACCACCAAGCCACACCCAGCACCTAAGCCACGCCCACAGAACCGGTTGTTAAAAATTTTGAATCCCACCCCTGCTTACAACCATTCATTTAGTGATTGTTCGAAGTTGCAGTGGTACTGAAAAGAGTGGCTTATGACACGTCCTTGTGACCATTGCAGCATCTCTATAATCATGTGGCCCAAATTCGGGTGATTTGTATTTACAATGGGTGCAGGATCCCAGGATTATGTGATCGCCACTTTCTGCCCAGCTGGCTTCTGACAAGGAAAGTCAATGTAGAAAGCTTAACAATTGTGTGATCCATTTAACTATCATGTCAAGAAAGGTAATAAAAGTGGGTGTGATTCATTTAACAACCGCCTTACTTGGCAACAGAAATTCTAGTTCCAATTGTTGCTATTATTCAAGGACCATCTGTATTTCAATTTCCTGGTTAAAAAAAAAAGAAATCTGGCCTCCTCTCTCAAATCAAATCTTTATTACTGTGATAGATCAGCCTAAATCCTCTCTTCTGTTTTCCTCCACAGATTTGTAACTACTATGGCCCTGCCGTCCACATTGCCTTACGACCGTGTAACGGTGAACATGGAACGGGAAGAAGTTTCTCTGGAGCGCACCAAATCCCAGCTGGATCCCCGCCTCATAAGCACTACCACTGGCAGCATAGAAGACTCTTGGCACAACTGCCTGCTTCCTTTTGAGGTGCTGGCCAGCATCATTGGCCTAGTGACTACGAGTGTCGCTTATGCCGGTAGTTTCTCTGACACCACCCTGACTGTTATGGGCGGAGTCCTGCTGGCTGTTGGGCTTCTCGGAGTGACCATAGGTTGCATCTGGCAGCAGTACAAGAGTAGGAAGCGCTGTGGCAGCTGGACCGTCCTCACGGGTGAAACGGAAGCCAAAAAGCCGGTTATCTGAAGATCCAGAACCAAATCCAGAACCAGACTCAAGGAGACTTAACCTAGGATAAAATCTCATTTGGCCTTATTGGGCAAAGCTTATTTCGAACTAATTTGACTAATTTCAGAATTGGTCCCCACCATTCTCGTTTTCTTTTAGATCAGTGGTGAGATTCAGAAATTTTTACTACCAGTTCTGCAGGCTTGGTGGGCAAGGCCATGTGACTGGGTGGGTGTGGCTTTTTTTTTTTTTGCTTTTTTGCCGCCCCCACCCATTTTTGGGAGCTTCCTAGCCTCAGAGAAGCCTCTGGGGGGCGTTTTTGCTCCCCTAAGGCTCCTCTGGGGTTCTGGGAGGCAAAAAATGGAGGGGGGGGGTTGAGCTCCTCCCTCCATTTTTTGCCTTCCTGGGCCTCAGCAAGGGGAATCTGGCACAGCTGATCTATGCACAGCTGATTGTCGGGAGAGGGAAAAAAGGAAATATCTTAGGCCAATGTCAGGCGGGCGGGTAAGGGAGCATCGGGCGGGAGGGCGGCTGGATCGGGGGCGTGGCCAGCCAGAACTTTTTACCGGTTCAGTGACCCATGCCAAATTCTTGCTACCGGTTTGCCCGATCCAGTGTGAACTGGCTGAATACCACCACTGTTTTAGATTAAACAAAAGCAACAATAAAATCAAGAAGAAGAAACCAAAAGGCATACAAGAAAAAAAAAATGGGACCTTGAAATGAACATATTCAAAATAAACATAAAAGGATTCTAGTATCACATGCCCAAAGACTGAAAAGATAAGAGGCCTTCCACTCTGGAACCTACTTTATAAAAATAACGTTTTAGCACAAAATGAAATACAGGTAGTCCTTGTTTAGAGACTGCCTTGTTTGCAGTTATGATGGCGATGAGAAAGTAATTTTGCCATCCTCTTATTTACAGGACTCTTTTGCAGGTCTATAAAGAAAAGAAAAGTAGAAGTTCATAAGCACAGTCAAAGTTTCACTTAGCGACCGCTTTGCTAAACACCAAATTGTGCTTGCTAAATGAGGACTACATATATGTTTTTCTTTTGCCATTGTATCAAAAAAAAATGACATATTTGTGCATATTTTGTCAAGGTCCTTTGGGGGTAGTTTCTGTTTCAAATCACTGCAAATATGCATTTATGCGTCTTATGCTCACACATGCATGTGTATCATTCTCAGTAACCTGTCCCTCTTTTTCCATTGTAGTGATGGAGATCTAATTTTCCCCAAAAAGGGAGATGATTGGATAAACTTCACATTCCTGGATAAAAATTTAAGGATTGTTTATGATTATTAAAGATGTTCCTTTGGGGAAAAGAATCTCTACTTTTATTTGCAGAATGATGCTGAGTTGTTGGTCAAAAACTCAAAAGATTTGCAACAAATGTTAGATAGACTGCAGAGTGAAACAAAGAATGTGGCTCTAGCAATTAGTGAATTAAAGATTAAGGTATTGTATTTGATTGGGCAAATGGAATGAGTGATTGCAAGTTATATAGAAATGGTGAAAAACTAGAGCAATGTTTCTTAACCTTGACAAATTTAAACTGTGTGATTTCAACTCCCAGAATTCCCCAGCAAAAAAAAAAAAGAATGAATAGTTTGCAAGAAAGAGAAAGATGGAGAATGGTTGGTTGGAGTTGATAAGATCCTCAAAAAGAGAAAGATGACAATTTTAAAAACAAAAGGCAAAGTATGAAGAAGTGTACCGACACTATTTTCATGATGGTTATGGGAAAATATATAGCTAATCCTCGACTTACAACTATCTATTTAGTGATTATTTGAATTTACAACGGCACACACACAAAAAGGTGATTTATGGCCATTTTCACATTATCGCTGCTGCATCCCCATGGTTACCTGATCAAAATTTGGATGCTAGGCAACTAGTATATATTTATGATGGTTGCAGTGTCCTGGGGTCATGAAATCAACATTTGCGATATTCTCACAAACAAAATTAATGAGGAAGCCAGATTCACTTAATAACCATGTTCCTAATAACTGCAAGTGTTTCACTTCACAACTGTGGCAAGAAAGGATGTAAAATGGGACAAAATTCACTTAACAGTTTGTCTTCCTAGCGGCATAAATTTGGGGTTCAATTGTGGTCATAATTCGAGGACTATCTCTAGTGAAAGGAATTGGTGCAATCTAGCTTCCACTGTCTCCTCTCCTCCCTCCTCCCTTTCTCCTCCTTCCCCTCCCTCCCCTCTTTTTAACTGCATTGCTTTATGTTTTCTTGCATAAGGGCAGTTTGTACAGACTGAACCAAGCCAGTGCATCATTGCTCCCACCAATTACTTGTCAATCCGAAGTAGCACCATCCAGGCATAATGGGCTGAGCCCTGCAAAGTAGACCTTAGGGCTAAAAATTGGCCCGCACATTCCAGTGAGGGCAAGATCCCAAGAGGAAAGGAAAATTTCCCCCGCTCCCAATCCTGGGCTACACAGATAGCCTTGCATAAACTCCTTTGGGGCTGGCGCAATCTCTGCCATCTTGGTGCCCTTTTATAAACAGCCGGAGCTTATCACTCCCTTTATAGAGTCTCTCCCAGGTCAGCGCATTGTTCCGAGAGCACGGCCCCATTTCCTGCTGATGAATGACACGCTCTCCAGGCTGGCAGGGTCTCTGCCTAGAAGCTGTTCAGAGCAGAAGGAAAATCAGAAACACAAACATCCACCCACATTTTTCCTTACTGCCTCTTCCATCCTGGCAGGCTGGCCCAAGGTTCATTCGGTCACTGCATTGTATTAATTGTCCAGCTACGTTCCAAGACTGTCGGTAGCTTCTTTCAGCTTTTGCAGGTGCACCAACATTTATGGATGGTAAATAAAACCATCCATAGCAGGACCAGGAAGAAATTTTAATTCAATTTTAACTCTTTCTGCTGGGAAAACTCACGTTTCTGCTGCTTAATTGGTGGTTTGCCTGCACTATAATAACTTCCTAGAATGACACAAAGGGCCATAACCTATTTTCCTAGCCTGGTGCTTTTTAGCTAGACTGGCCTGCACACCTCTTCTCCAAGCAGCTTAATTTCCATATAATATGCTCCTTTTGCATAATTATGATATAGCTAAAGTTGTTTTCAAAGGAGCACTTTATTCTTAAGAAAGGATTCTAGAAGAAAAGCAAGGTTCTGTAAAATCAGTGGTTGCACGATTATAGCATATAGAAATGCAGTGATCTCAGGGAACTCATCCTCAGCTGAGAAGAGGAAGTCTTCAAATTAACTTTACAGGATTCTTGCAAAGATCATTGTTGGGTAATGCAGTGGGAAATACTTTAAAACATAGCATTAAAGATGAAAATCTCCCCTGGGTCAAAGCTCAATTCCTGGTGAATGGACACATCAATATACAGGTAGTCCTTGACTTACAACAGTTCATTTAGTGACCATTCAAAGTTACAACAGAACCAACAAAAGTGACTTATGACCATTTTTCACAGTTACAACCTTTGTAGCATCCCCATGATCATGTGATCAAAATTCACATGCTTGACAACTAATTCATGCTTATGACCACTGCTGTGTTCCAGGATAATAGGATCACCTCTTGCAACTTTTCGACAAGCAAAGTCAATGGGGAAGCCAGATTCACTTAACAACCAGGTTACTAATTTATCAGCCGCAGTGATTCACTCAACAACTGTGGCAAGAAAGATCGTAAAATGGGGCAAAACTCACTTAACAAATGTCTCACTTAACAACAGAAATGTTGAGCTCAATTGTGATCGTAAGTTGAGGACTACCTGTATAGGTAGTCCTTGACTTACAACCATAATTGGGGGCAGAATTTCCATCGCTAAGCAGGCAGTTGTTAAGTAAGTTGTGCCTGAATATGGGCTTCCCCCATTGACTTTGCTTGTTGAAAGCAGGCTAGTAAGATCATAAATCTTCATGAATTATCACATGTGATCATGTGATCACATGATCCCAGGACCCTGCAACTGTCCTAAATAGATGCCAGTTGCCAAGTGCCAGGATTTAGATCATATGACATGGAGATGCTGCTGGAACAGTTATAAATGCCAACAACTGGTTGTAAGTCACTTTTTTCAGTGCTGTTGTAACTTTGGTTGCTAAAGACTTTGGTTGTAGCTGTAGTTTATTTGGCAACAATATCTATGGAGATTCTCAGTCATCCAGGTCATGGTTGTCCCAAAGGTGCTTTTTTCAAGAGGCAGCTGGACTTCTGGTTTTTCTTTGAAGACGTTTTACTTCTCATCCAAGAGGCTTCTTTAAAACAGTGGCCCCCAACCTTTTTTGAACCAGGGACCAGTTTCACGATTATTTATTCTTCCACGGACCAGTACCTGAGTAACGCAAGACTCCACCGCCATCAGGACGGCTCTTTGTTCGAAGCCGCCCCCCCCCTCTTCAAAGAAACTAAGGCGCAAGCACCCAAACGCCACTTTCAAACTGAAAACCCGGAAGCATTTTCCAACCGAAAACCCGGAAGCAACCGAAAACCTGGAAGCGCCATTGAAACAAGATGGCGGTGCCCAAGCTTTGCGGCCTGGTAAAAAATGATCCACGGACCAGTACCGGTCCGGGGACTGGTGGTTGGGGACCCCTGCTTTAAAAGACAAAGGCCACCCTTTGGAAGACGGCAAAGTCCACATTTTGGACAGAGAGGACCGCTGTTTTGACAGAGGGGTCAAAGATTGTCAAAATTGAACGGCCCTCTGTCAACGGAGTGGGAGGGATACAACATCACCTATCTCCAGTCTAGAACACAGTCCCTTCAGCAGTTCCAAGAAGGCTCCACACCCATTTGCACTACTCCAGTGACCCTGAGGACACAGATATATCTCCAGGTGGCCTCAATGACTCTCTAAAATAATGCAAATGACTAGCTGTCTGCAAGGAGTGTAAATCCTTCCATTCCCCAGCATCCAGTCAGAGCCGAAGAAGATTCTTGGATGAGAAGTGAAATGAAACGTCTTCAAAGAAAAAACAGAAAGTCCAGTTTCCCCCTTTGAAACAATCATTTCTAGAATTTTTCCTACTTCCTCACTTTCCCTATACAGGTTGTCCTTCACTTAGTATTACCATAATAAAGCCCCAAATTTCTGTTGCTAAGCAAGGCTGTTGTTAAATGAGTTTTCCCCATTTTACAACCTTTTGCCACAGTTATTAGCCAAATATCTGTTGTTGTTGAGTGAATCATGCGGTCAACCATGCTCTAAACTTGATTGCAGAAAGTACGACTTCAGCAACAGGGTGGTCAATGCCTGGAATGCACTACCTGACTCTGTTGTTACATCCTCTAACCCCCCACTCCTTTAACCTCAAACTAACCACTGTTGACCTCACCCCATTCCTAAGAGGTCTGTAAGGGGCTTGCATAAGCACACCATCGTGCCTACCGTCCCTGTCCTATTGTCCCCATTTATTCGTACCTATTTCCTGTATTCATAATCATGTTTATTCTTATACCTATTATCTTGTAAGCGATTGACAAATCAAATCAATAAACAAAATAATAAATAAATAATGGGGTCATTAAGTGAATCGACTTTCCCGTCCCATTGCTTGTCAGAAAACGGCTGGGAAGGTTACAAATGGTGATCTCATGACCCCGGGAAATTGCAACCATCAAATACATAAACAATTTGCCAAGTGCCCAAATTTTGATCAAGTGACCATGGAGCTGCTGTAATGGTTATGAAAACTGGCCATAACTTCTGACAGTTACTAAACAAATGGTTTTAATTGGAGACCTGCCTGTAGATGCTCACTCAAGCAAGGAGCAGAACTAACATATTTTAGCTATACTGACATTTCCTAAGATTCAGATACCAGCAAAAAAAACCAAGATCCTTCAGCGGAGCGCATCTTATAATAATTACATATTACCTCATTGCACAACTCATATGAACGCTAATAAACCCCACTATCATGCATTCCTTTAGTGGTGTGACTTTTTAAAAAACGCTGTGCAGTTTCTATAATCTTTCTCTCCCAAACAGCAGCTTCATCTATTGGCATTTACAGCTTAATAAATTATTAAGGCAGAGAAAACCTTTCTCAAAATATGAAAGAACAAACCCTCGGGGGGAGGGGGGGAGTGTGGTGTGCAGCAGGCTTGAAAAATAGTGAATGAATTTTTATTACTAAACCGGGTTCCCATTTTGATATCATTAGCCTACCCATATCTTAATATTTTCTATCGCTTTATCCTCCAAATCTAATCAAGACTCTTTGATTAGATTAATAATTGCCATTTTCACCTCCTCTCTCTCCTGGGGTGAAGACAGAAATTCTGTGGTTTTTGTAAATGGAAAATGGTGAAGTCCCCCTTCCCTTTCAAGTTATCAATATGCTCATCTTATCCCCAGCTGCAACCTCAGGGAATAAGCTTCCTATGATATGAGAAGCACAGATAATTGTGAGCTTCTGGGGAAAACAGAAGGATCAGGATGCTGTAAAATAAAAACTGGGATTCTTTTTCTTTTTTTTTAAACCGGGGGCTTAAGTGAATTTTCTGCTACAGAAATTGTTCTATTTTATTTGCATTAATATTATTCTTTGCAACACTGCAAAGTTCCTTTTCAAAATAGGGCAAGCAGAATATCATTCAGTCATTTTCACCTGTGGATTTGGCTCACTTCCTGATCTTAGACACAGCAATCTACATAAGGCACAGCAGTTTAAATAAGGCAGAGCAAAGGGCCCGATTTGCAGACTTATTATTCACCACATACACGTTTATGTTGGCGAATGTGATGTTGGTGACGTGAGATAAATATGCTCCACCAGGTTTCCTCAGTAACAGCCAATGTTCCTGGAGAACTGGCAACCATTTTGTTGTCTACTCGCCCTAGCCCATGACTTGGGAAGTTTCAGGTCATTTTCTGTCCTGCTAGGCATCCAAAGTAGTAATTTCTGACTTGCGGTTAATACAAGTGGTGATCTTCTCTTCACCTCCTGTGCTTAATTCTGTTGTAAGCAAATTCCTCACTCTGTGTTGTACAGGGTACTGTGCATTGCGACAAAACATCCCCTGCCCTCTGCTCTTATATTCCCCTCTTTTATTTTACTGGTGAAACACCTGAAAGAACAGTAAAACTGCTATTTTGCACACACCAGGTGGGCAGGTGGCAGGTATAAGGAGGAATCAATGGGTACAGGTAGTCCTCAACTTACGACCACAATTGAGCCCAAAATTTCTGTTGTTCAGTGAGACATTTCTTAAGTGAGTTTTGCCCCATTTTACGACCTTTCTTGCCAAAGTTGTTAAGTGAATCCCTGTGGTTAAGGAAATCTGGGTTCTCCGTTGACTTTCCTTGTCAGAAGATCCCAAAAGATGATCACATGACCTTGGGACACGGCAACTGTCATGAGTCAGTTGCCAAGCGTGTGAATTGTGATGACACAATCATTGGGATGCTGCAAAGGTTACAACTGTGAAAAATGTTCACAAGTCACATTTTTCAGTGCCGTTGTAACTTTGAATGGTCACTAAACAAACTGTTGTAAGTTGAGGACTACCTGTAAAAGATTTACTAATGGAAACCTTAGTGATTGGCATTTACTTTCCCAGTATGGGAAAGAGAGGTTAAGAAGGAAGGAACTACAAAATTAGAGGGAGGAGGGCATAAGAATATGTTCAAGACACAATACTAGGTCATCACTATGGCCACAGCAGAGGAAGGGACTGAAATCACAGGTGGGATTCAATTTTTTCAACAACCGGTTCTGTGGCTGTGGCTTAGGTGGTGGTTGTGGCTTGGTGGTCATGTGACAGGGTGGACGTGGCTTGGTGGTCATTGGCTGGGTGTGGCCAACTCAATATCACTCACATCGAGGCACGCATCTACTCGCCTGGCCTCTCATGACTGTGGGGATGCTGCAATAGTCGTACGTGTGAAAAATGGTCATAAGTCACTTTTTTCAGTGCCATTGTAGATTTGAATGGTCACTCCACACAAGCAAAGTACCAGCAAAGGAGGGGGGAAAAACTCCAGAGAAGTTCCAGAGACAGGAAGTCTAGTCCTTCCAAGAATTTAATAAGGGTTAATGGAGAGGCTGTTTCTGTAAGCAACACCAGAGTGTTTCCTTCCCGCCTTCCTTACAGGATTAGGCCAGTAATTTCTTCTACCAACTGGTTCTCCGAACTGCTTAGAATGTTAACAACCAGTTCTAGAAAATAGGTGCGTACTGGTAGAATCCCACCCCTGACTGAAATCCAGAAAAATTTCTTTAGGTTGCTTCACTTCCACCCACTTTAGGTACAGGAGTGGAGGAGCTTAAATTTGTAATGTTGAGGAGGGGGAAACAACCTGTATTAACAGCCCCACACTTTGTTGCTCCAGCTTGCTGGTAAGTAAGGCAGGACAAGAAGCAATGGTTGGAAACTAATCAAGGAAAGAAGCAATCTAGAGCTAAGGAGAAACTTCCTGACAGAATAATTAACCAGGGGAACCACTTGCCTTCAGCAGTTGTGGCTGCTCCAACACTGAAAGGTTTTAAGAAGAGATTGGACGACTATTTGTCTGAAATGGTATAGGGTTTCCTGCCCAAGCAGGGGGTTGGACTAGAAGACCTCAAAGGTCCCTTCCAACTCTGATATTCTGTTACATTGAGGTAGTCAACCTTGCAAGGTAAAGATTGAAGAAAAAAAGTGCGGATTATTGACATCACCTTCAGTTCCTCAGACAGTTACACATGTATAGGTAGACTGTT